CTCAGAACGGTACTACTGATCTGGTAAAATCCAACCTGGCGGACAGTCATTCAGTGGAAGACTATGAGCGGAAGAGTGGCAATCACTGCTTAAGTTAAAACAGGCCAGAGCTTTGAGCCTGTTACAGACCTATGCAACCAATTTGGAGGGAGAAAATCTTTCCCAGACGCAAATAAGACGCAGAGAGATACGAACTGCCGACTACGAAATCAGTCAGTTTAATGGACGATTTCAATGCGCCTATTGGAGCAGACACTGAAAAGTGATTTCCAGATGACCTTGCTTTGTTGGCATCTTCTGTCACTGATCTTTAACGCTCCTTGGAAACGTTCGCAGCCGAGTATGATGTGGCCGGAAAGAGAGAAAACGTGTCAAAAACCAAAAGCCTGGTGCTTTCTCGTTCTATCCGCTACGCTGTGCAGATAAAATACGATGACGATGAAGCAGTGGGTGGAATAGATGAAGTTCACGTACCTTAGGGGAGTGTTTACTAGCCATGGAAAATATGAGGAAGAAATCGACCGAACTTGGAATGGACAGCGGCGTTCAGCTGGAAGTAGTTCGAGATGTTGTAACTAATCCAGAGGTGCGTCTGAAGGCTGAAGTGTCTCTATTCAAGTCGATCTTCATCACAATGCTCACCTAAATTACCTCTGATCATGAGTCGTGGACGATGACTGAAAAACTGCGATCTCTGGTAGAAGCGGCTGAAATGGGCTTTCTGAGAAGAATCGTTGGGATCAGGCGTTTTAACATGGGACAAAGTTCAGGTGTCCAAAAAAGCCTCGATATAATGCTGCTGCTTGTGCAAGTTGAGAAGTTATATCTGCGATGGCATGGGCGTATCTTGCGAATACCTTCAGAAAGGAAAGCAAAACAGCTATTTGCCCAACAGACTCGCCGAAGATCCAAAGGATGGCCATGAATGAGATTGGACAAATGTTTCGATACACTGTGATCTATACTCGGTCATCGACTGATGAAGTTCATACATTGGCACCTGGTCAGGAACGTTACCTGTCTCTGGGACTCTGTTACGAAATAATATTCCTCTTGTATTTCAGCATGAGCATCCAGGAATAAAATACTCCACTTTCGTTCGTATATCTACTATATGCACTAAGTTAGGTGAAGTATCAGTATGCAGTAACATCAGTGTTAATATATATAGCATATAATGCAACGTGTTTTTATTATAATGCAAAAATTATTGTACGGATAGTACTCAGTAATACACAGTTGTTGACATTATTTTACCAAATATTGCACAGTGTACGCATAGTAATTCTCATCCAGCGAGCTCTGCTTACAATGTAATGCCTTTAAATACCTCGATTCATTTTCTTGCGTCTTCGACACGAACCCCGGCTTATTCGGATATTCTACCTCCTTTCGGTACGCGAGCGGCACCGCTTCGCCAGACTGTAACGTCTCAACATTGGGAAACTGATGTGTCTCGAACAGACGACGTCGATGTGACATTTAATTTTAGCCGACGTTCGGCTACTGCTATACGGTGATCAGACTCGACGCAAGCGCTATGACTGCCGTGAGTCGCTAGTAACGAGCTGCGTATGGGCGATGAGAATATGGTCGAGTTTGGTCTTTAGGTTTTCAGTCAGGGGACGTACAATTGGTTCAGTGAATTAAGGGGAGAGGATCAGGCCGACACTGAAGCTGTTTATGCAATAAAAGCTAAACAAACACTTGCCGTTGTCATTTGCGGTATCAATTCCGTCACAGTTGAATACTTCTGACCATATGCCGTAGTAAACGCCAGCCTTCGCTTTAAGGTCATTTGTGACAACTGTGACGTTATAACGCGATAAAAGTGGATAACTAACTGTAAGCAGTCACAGAAAGTATCGTCTTTGTCGGCGTCATCTGACACCTTTTTTGGGGCGTAGGCAACAGTGACACTAATTTTGTCTGTCTGATATTTACGGGAAAAAGTAAGATTCTGTCTGATGACTGTCGATTAGAAACGACCGTATGATTTATCATAAAAGATAAAAAATACACCGTTGTGGCGTGAGCATCAAAATAGCCATACTACCTGCAGGTCAAGCGTCCGTTCCCCAATTAAAGAACGAAAATTCAAACAGATAACTGTAAAACTTAACTTCGTTTAGTACTGAGAACTGGCATCGTGGATTTCTATTTTTAAGTGGCCTAGTAAGTTGCGAACGTTAACCGTTGGTCGAACAACTCATTTCCATGAGCACAATAAATTTCGCCACAGCTCGTTAAAAAAATTAATCGGATCACTGGCATATATAGTACATATTGCAGCTCAGGCAGCATTTCGCCATTTCAGGGGGGAGGGGTTCCTAGGCAAGTCGGCGGGAATTATATAGTAGATATTGAGCTTGCCAGAACATAAAGGCGGAATACGTAAGGATCATGGTTAGGGCCATCAGACAGCTTTCTATCAGCATTTTGGCTGAGTTTTAATTCACGTAGGTCACTAATTGCTGAGTGCATTTAGAAAATGTACTGTAAATAAATATCTGAGTGATATCAAACAGATGACAGAATAAAAAACATTATACTCCCGCAAATTATATGTGCACAACTGACATTTCAGACGATGGTCTGTCCGTCTTCAGAATCTCCTTGTAACTCTGATGACCACAGGCGGGAACATCGGAGGCGCAAGTATGAGTAAGTAAAATGGTTTTTCTGCACCCGCTTCCGATGGCATAAAATCCATAATCATTTACTGCATAAAGAAATCATTATATGTTCGGTAAATATTTGAATGAAACAAGTAAATGAAAACTGGGCAATAAAATGTTATTGTCGCCGAACGTAACAGTAAATCCTCCGAGGGTTCAAGAAAGGAACGTTAACACTAATTTACGCAACGAATAACTGAGTCACGCCAACGTGTAACAGGCAAATAAATACTAATGAATGAATAGCGAATAAATGAGGACGCAGTATAAACAAGTACATTGAGTACACGAAGCTAGTACTGCTGTGGTACACCTTCATGAAAGTTCACAATATTATACTGGCTGTGACGATTAACTGCCAGATAAGATAATTAATATTCTTTATCTGCGTACTACTTAACAAAGAACTTACTTGATATACATCCCGTATAGTTAATTCCTTCCGGCTGTAGAGGTAGCGTATAACCTCCACCAATTATGAAGTCTCCTCCTTGGAAAAATTCCAGGTCCATGACCGACAGTTCACCGTACATATCATCGACCTAAAAAATGTAACAGATCAATCGAGCGTTCTCTTTCATTCGAATAGCCGTTACGTTAGCTGCAATGTACGTCGGGAAGAAGCGCATGTAGAAGTGATGGCGGTTACCATCGGCAAAACTACCGAGGAATTTGTGATTCAGTGAGACGAAATCTTAAAAAAGAAGCCCAGTCATAAAAGAATGGCAATTGGCCTGTCGGCCGAACAACTGACGCACCGTCGTTTACCGTCAGCAGGAGTCCTTCAGGAATCAGATAGAGATTGATAACGAAATCATACTTTCTGTTCATCCACTGAAACACCAGTTGGTAATAGGTCGACAGGCCGTTGGTCGAAAATGTCAGCGTCAGATAACCGGTTGGCCGTGAATAGTAATTGCTCGAACCGAAGATTTCCGTGAAACGAAACAATATCTGCGTCGTGCCGTCGAAATGAAACCCGATATCTGTAACCAGATACAAACGTAATACAACGAGTGTTAACACAGTGCTTATTAAACTTGCACAATGGTTGGCTGTACAAGAGAGTCACGCTTTCAACGTACATACCCGCCGCCACTGTTGTCAATGTTTTTGGGGTACGTCAGTTCATACTCAATCATCAGAACTGTAGTACCCTGAGGCTACTTGACGCATTGCTTGATCAGCGTGTCTGTAGCAATCAAAAACAAGTAGTAACTTTGATAAATGCACGCAATACAAAGCGATTGTGGAGCTCTAGTCCGAATGCTGACATCCGTCCTCAGGGTGATGAAGCGTTGTTCTGTTCTAGGTTAACGAAGTCGCCAAACAGTGAGATTCGGCCGCGAGAAGGAACGCCAGTTAGAATTAGATTGCGCAGCCTATTGCTGAAGAGTGGATTGCAGCTCTCGATGTAAGAGTTCCTGAAAATTAAGCCTAAGCTTAAAACTAAACCTAAACTGTATTCACTATATGTCTCTATGAGCTTCATTCTGATGAACTACTGGCTGAACAGACAATCCTTCTGTTTCAAAATATGCACATCTAATTTAATCTATAACTTTATTGAACTTTCATGGGCAAGCCTAACATAGTGTTCTGGATCCCTTGTTCTCATGCTCCCCCAAATTATATACCGTTTTATTTTACAACAGGGCATCTTAACGGAGTAGAAAATACATGCAAATACCGCTAATTCGTTTTCTATAGGCTCTTAAGGATGGAAAGAGACGATTCGGCGGGGGCCATTTCGGTGCTGATCGAAAGTCGTTATTAACGTGCAACGCGTTTGATTCCATTTAATCGGATTGTGGTCATCTCGATCAGCGGTAAATCCAACGTAGCAAGCCATATATCTATGAGAAGCTCTCCGTACAATGTGAAATTTGTGTCAAACTAATACAGTTCTAAGATTTTACGTTCTATTTTGACTCCATTTTCTACCTGCGAGAGTAGATAATATCCAGTACCTAGTAAAGTCGAAGAAATATCGGGATGCGGATGAAAGGATAATATTCATAATAATGTTCATTAATGATAATCATAATAGTGACATTTTTACTTACCCTCATGGCTTAGCTTATAACTGCGAAATGGCGCAATAATGTTGTATACTGTATATAAATTTTTTATATAAATAAAGTCACTTCAGCCCCTTGTTCTTCCATGAAAAGTGGAG